GCCTAGTGACCATGAACCGTGACGTACACTGTTCATGCCCAGTTGGGGATCTTTGTTGCATGTCTTGCCCCACATTTCCTGTCAAATCTGTAGTGTCACTGTGCCCAAACAAATAAGTAACCTGTTGCAAACCTTCATAACAGAAGCTGAGACATAATAATATCTCTGGTTACAGACAAAGCCAAAGGTTTTGACCATTTATTCCATTTGACCAAAAGAGGTTTTTGGAGGGGAGTTTTTTTGCGATGACTACAGGTGCTTCTCAGACGACATTTACACACAGCAGTCTTCAAAGAAATCATTATTAGTTATAGATTTAATTTCTTACTCATGAGATATTAATAAATTGTCATGCAGCTTTAAAATTATTTCTAAAATGTATTTAGGTTATATCAGGATATTGTGATAGCCAAAATCTAGACTCAGTCGAATAATTGATGAGTCAACTAACTTAATCTGCTAACAACTTTTTAAATCAATTTATTGTTAAAGTCATTTTTATAACCAGAAATGCCAAAAACTCACTGGTTCTAGCTTCTCAAATGTGAGCTGGTTTCATAATCCTCTGTGATAGTAAACTGAATATCTTTGGGTTTTAGACAAATAATAAAGAAATTCATCAACAGATTAATCGATGGTGAAAGTTTCAGCCCTTGTTTCACACTATAATACGAATCGTGTATCAACACACAATACACAATGCTTATGGTGATCAAGAGCACTGTGAATCTTTCCATTGTTTCCACTTTAATCCCTTGTGTCAGTTGAGCCAATCGAGGAGGACCAGCGCCCTATGCTTTGAGAAACTGGAGGCTGATCCAGGATCAGAGCGACAGGTAAGGCATGACCACAGGGGGCGATGACCTGCCAACCCACAAACATGCTGTGACATCACTCTAAGGAGGTCACGGTAATCAGATTATCCCCGTCACACAGACTGACTCACCACCCAGGGCCAGCAACACTCAGCAGGTTAAAACACAGAACGCACTCTCACACACGCACGCAAGGACACGCCTTACAAAAAAAAAAAAAAACTGTAACTGGGCTCAGATAAAATTAGATGAAAAGCATGTGAGTGAGCCAGAAATAAAATCCCTGAGTTGTAAAATGTTAGTGAAGCTTCAAACGCGCATTGACTCTGTGAGCAGTGTCACGTTTTGCTTTTGATGATTTCTTCTTCTGTGGGAGAAAAGGAAGATTGTTTACTGAGCGCAGAAGCTGGCTGATGGAAGACAGACGAGAAGCTCGAGGGCCTGAGCTGCTCTGTAACCGCAGTGATGCCAAGTGGTCGGCGGTTTGAAGAGGACACCTGAGACCAGCGCACCTGGACAATGAGCTGAGGTGTAACCCTAAACTGAGATGAACCGCTGTTTATCCCCCGCGTTCTCCTTCTCTTGCTCTTTCCCATCAGTCTCCTGTCTCGCCCTCTCTGGTCCTCGAGCTTATTCTCTCTCCTCAACTTGATCTATTCCACCCTGTTACTCTCTACTACCAGTACTTCTACTTGAATATTTTCATTTAATGCAACTTTATACTTCTACTCCACTACATTTCAGATGGTACTTTTTACTGCACTACATTTACTCCTAATATAATGCAGATTTGGATTATTATTTATTTATTAATCATTATGTATTAGTGTATCTACCCAGCAGTATATAAAATTAGCCCCACGTTTACCAGCTGCAACATTAAAGCCCCAATATGTAACTTTTCTACCTTAAAATAACAGCTTCTGTCATTCGTACTACTCCCCATATGCCTGTTCTTGCATTATGTAACTTTTGGTTGGGTCGGGTTAAGTGCGTAACTGATTTTGGTGAAACTGGATCATATTTTATAAAGATAATGTTTTCTGGTTTTCCCTTTGATGTCCTCCGGCTGCTCCGCCTCAACTCCACTCATGCACATTTACAGATTTCCTGATAAACAGAAAACTTTACTAGTTGATAAAAGTAAGTATCGTATTCTGTGCTGCCCGGAGCTCAGAGCTCAGTGGGGAAGGGAGCAGAGCAGGTGTCGTGCCAGAACCAGAGCCAGGTGAGCAGGCACTGTAACCGGGCTCAGAAGCGTCTGCGGACATGGCAGAGGGAAAGAGACCAAAGAGGACATTGACAGATGAAGCAAAGAAGACACAAGGAGAGAGAAGCCGCCAGAAAAGAGTAAATCTCAGTCTGAATTTTAGTCCTTGGTGCTTTGTGAAATAAAACAGACGGTGAGCTGGCCTTACTGCTGTTGGACTAGGAAGTAATATTAGCTGGCGTGCTATTGTCTTGTGTTGTTGCACTTTGTTGATGTTTGACTGTCAAAGAAAAGTTGTCAACTCGCTAATTTTTGATCATAAGTAATGTAATAATAAATGCACGTGTACAGCTGTTTATATTTACGACAGTATCACAACTAGGGGCGCTAATTCGCAACAAATACCAAATCTTACATAATGTTGCTTTAAAGTAATGTACATATTATTGCTTCACAAATTATAATCCAGTAATATATGCCGTTCTGCATAGTGAGTACTATAACTTTTTGGTACTTTAAATATATTTTGATGCTAATACTTTTGTACTTAAGTCAGATTTTGAATGCAGGGCTTATAGTACCGATACTTTTACTTTTAAGTAAAAGATCTGAATACTGTTTTCTCACAATCTTTGGACTCACTACCTCTCTCGTTTGCCTGTGTCTCACCCTTCTGGGCATCGCCAGGCTAACGCAAACATCCCTCGGGTGTGAGTCACAGTCTAATCACATACTTAAAGATTAGCACCCACACATTTTCAGTAAGATTCATCATTCAAGGAGAAAACGAGTCCCAAGCCCTTTCTCAGACATTCCTGCATCTTTTCAGTTGCTATTTTCACACAGACAATCCTCTAAATTGGGGGACTGACATTTTGCGCAGCAGCTGACAGCGGCTAGCAGCTGTATGACTCAGTGACACAGAAGCAGTGCCCATGTCACCATGGAGAAGGCAGCGTTATGGTGTTGTTGCCAAGGCTCTGCTGTCCAATACGCATCTGATCCCCCGCGCAGGGAGGAGGGAGAGATGGGAAAAAGAAGTATGCATGTTTAAGACATGGTAGAAAAAAGTGAGAGACTCAAAAATAATAATAAGAAGAAGAAGTGAAGGATTGAAGATTAGGAGACATTTCGGCAGATCAGCAGCTACACTTACTTCTGCTGTCTCCCTCTTTAAAGGCCTTTAGTCAGCATCCTGCACACTCCACCCATATTTGTACACTCCCTCCCCCCATCACTCAGATAAACACACACAGTCTGACCTGCACACACACACACACACAGATGCACTTAGATGGTCGCTGTGCATTATTTCTTTGATGCACCAACAACTGCAACTGCGTCTTTAAACAGCAAGTAGCACAAAGGACCAAAAATAGCACAGTGAGTTGCAGAGCAGAACTGCTCTCCTTGAAGAGGGGAGGAAAGAGGAGGAGGATGAAGAGCAGGAGGAGGTGCAGAGAGAGATGACAGGGAAAAGATGGCAGAAGGAGACCAGCTCTCCAAGACTTAGGCCTCCCTGCTGGGCTCAATCTAAGTTTCTCATCCAGTGTCAGCTCCCAGAAAACGCTCTGTATGTTGGTATTCAATGGCAACACTTGACAATCACATTTCTGTCATGTCATGATTAGGAGAAGGTTGAATGTTTGTAGATTTGTAAATGTCCCAGTGGATTTCGTGCTTGCCAGAGAAAGTAATAGATGTGACCACATAGGGGACATCTAGACCGCAAACATGTCAATATCAGAAGTGGGACAATTAATCAATGCAGCAATGGATCGCAATACGCTCTTCTGCAATGGTTTATCAGTTATATTTGTTACTAATATTACTCTTATTTGGGTTTTCTGGTCTGTTTTTAAGTATTATAAAATAATTAATTTTGAAGAAATAGTTAATAATATGAAGCAATAGCCAGGAGGTGGTTAGTTTAGTTCAGCACAAAGACTCGGGGGGGAAACAGTGGCCAAGAAATCGTCTAGTACAGCCAGTGTCATTTACACAGAAATGAGTCCTAAAACCCAGAGATGAGTTTGCATTTTAGCACTTCTGGTACCCTCGCCTCGAAGTCAATGGCCTGAACTAAGGTCTGTGGTTAACACATGCTTCAGAGATTTTGAGATGAAATAATCCAAGATCCAGTGGAAATATCCCACTGGCTTTGTGTTGAAAGAACCAGGACGATGCTAACTTCTGGGTTGTCTTACAAAACGATGTCCTCCCTGCAGCACTCAATTACTGAGTTAAGTGATGGTAGGCTGATTCTGTTACCCTTGGACAGAGCCAGTGCTAAGCTAAGCTAACTGTCTCCTGGATATAGCTTCATATTTACCACACAGACATGAAAATGCAATCAATCTTCTTATCTACGTGTGACAAGAAAGAGAATGAGCATATTTCTCCTAATGTAATTTCCTTCAGGCTGTGTTTGAGTGTTGCAATTTATGAAAAAAAAAAAATCACTGATACCACTGCCTATATATAGCCTAATCAGATTCATATCAGTACACTTTTGTCTGATCTACTATGCAACCAAACTAAATACTGTTGTTCCCCTAATTTGTTCATCAACATAAGTGTGGAGAAAAAATACACTTAGTTACTAGTTTATCAGGTATACTTACCAAAAAGTCCAATATAATACATAATATAATATAATATAATAATATATTCTGGTGTTTTCAACCACATTTCATGCTTCTATTGTTGTATTTTGTCTATTTAAGTGTAGACTAGATGCAGCTTTCACTGGAACGTAATATAATTCAATAGTAGCACAAAGTAAAAGAGAGTTGAGAGTTTCTGTTCTTTCTGTGTTTTCTCCTTGATCCTTCGAGCCATTTAACTGTGTCTGTATTGTGTTAATAAAAACTCTTCAGTTCTTATAATATTATCACTGGTCTTTGCATGAATCAGACATTATATAATTTGCTTATTTACACAGAGTTTAAGTCTCACTTGTTTGCAGTACTTACTATTGCTGGACTTGAGGTCTCTGTGGATGATGGGTACGAACGCCTGGTTGTGCAGGTAGTCCATCCCCGTCGCAATCTGGACCGCCCAGTTCACCAGAACCCTCGGAGGAACCTTTTTTCCAGCAAGTGCTCGGTTCAGTGCCCCCCCTCTGGCGTACTCCATCACCAAGCACAGGTTGGGCTCCCGCAGGCAGACCCCGCGGAGGGCGATTATGTTGGGATGACGAAGCATCCAGAACAGCCTGGCCTCCTGTCGTACGCTCTCTGCTGTCACACTAATATCCTCATCGGGGTCCTGCCTGGCGGCCTTTACTGCTACTACTTCTGCCCGCCATACTCCTTTGTACACCTTACCAAACCCACCAGCTCCAATCACCTCCTCCAGGAGCAGCTCTGAGAAGTCTATCTCCAAGGGGCAATCACCCACCCCACCTGCCACCAGCCCTCCTGCAGCCAGCTGCTGGTAGTTGGCAGGGTCCCCCTTTGTGACGTAGTTGCTTGGAAAGATACCCACCTTGTCCTGGATCTTGCCCGTCCACCAACCCTCGTCCCCAGAAACCTTGGAGTCTTTGGAGAGAACCTCGAGAAGGTCCCCGCGCCGCAGGGTTAGCTCCTCATCTGCTGTGGCCTCATAGTCGAACACCGCCGTCCAGTAGGGGTTGGGGTTGTTGGCCCCACAGCGGTGACCAGGGTGGGAGTCTGGGGAGCCGGAGGAGGAGATGGTGGAGTTCCAGCTGCTACCATTCTCCACCTGCACGACTGGCGCCGGAAACATCGGTGGTGGAGGGGTCATATTCGGGGGCATGGAGGAGGAGATAGTAGAGGAGGGAGGCCCTGGCGGGATTAGGCAAGGGGGAGGCGGGGAGCAGCAGCCCCCACAGCTGGTGCAGGACAGGGGGGCTGCTGTGCCGCTCGCTCTGCCGTATGGGTTCATGGCAGCCTGATGGCTGTTTGATGCTGTAGGTCTGCCCTCTGTCAACTCAGGCACAAAATCCATACAGGGCCCATTGACAGAGTCGAGGTGTCCTCGACCACCAGTAGGGGGGAGAGGGGATCAGAGGATCAGAGAGCTGCAACTGCTCTCCCCCATCACCACATCGCGTTGTTGAAACTGTGCCAAACCCTGTCACCGGTTGCTGCTGTGCTGTTGCTACGCAGTGTGTAAGTAACATGTATTCCCAAAGGCAAGTTCATTCGAGGACAATGTACATCAGGTCAAACAATGACACCCAGCAGAGCACAACCATGTGTAAGCCCCCCCTCCCCACCCCCCAAACCTAATTGACCGTTTCCACAATTTGCTCCCTTATAAAGCTGCCACAGACTCGCACAGGAGATGTGTGTTTATCAGCAGCTGCAGGTTTGATCAAGTCCTTCAGATAGATTCCTTCAGTCTGATGACTTCCTGATCAGTTAGTGAATTATGAAATTAAATGCAGACTTTATTTCTCTAACAGGCCTCTCAGTTGCTGCCAGCAGTGAATAGTTACATACTTTTAAAAAACTATTTTCTACATTGCTGTTACATTTAAACAGGCTTCAAACTAGTTTTGAATCCTTTGGCCTAATAAATACATAACCTCTTCTGTAGTGAATATCAGCCCATTGATAATAGTGTCTTGACTCTGGGAGCTCCAGAGACACTCACAGGCAATAATAAAACCACAACTGATTAATTTTTAGTATGGACTATTTAGGCTGCCGATAAAAACCGCAGTCTGTGTTTGAGCTGAGTGAAATCCTCTGAGCAGGGGTCCTCATTATTTCTCATCCAGCCCAGTGTAGATGCACCTCCCCCGCCTGCCATCTCCATGAACACGGGCTGTTCTCTCTCTCTCTATACCGTGTTTGGAAAATATCCGCGGATATGCGCCCTACATCCCGGCAAGCCGGTCCAGACTAAATCCTACATGCATGTCCACTCATGAGCCGGTTCAACGTCCCTGAATAGCCTTGATCAAAAAGGCCACGTCCATTTTAAGACAGCTGGGGCATTACAGAAACAAACAGACGGCTGATCGTTAGGTATTCAATACAGAGCTGTAAAGTGGCACCGTGATCAGCATCCAGCCAAGCCTGAGCACAACAAACCCGCCTCCGTCTCTGTGCAGCGGCCTGGTTCAGTCGCCTCTGCTGGGCTACATTGGTGATGGAGGCGAGTCCTCGGTTAGAAGAGAAACTCTTCCTCACTGGAGACAGTAAAGGGATGCCAGCATATATCATTATCCTGCTGCCTCGAGAGCACGCATGTTTAGTTTCAGATCATCGATAAAGTAGTAATAATGTCCACGATTTCTTCAGGAAAGACAGAAACCATCACACGGTGGCAACAAGGTGGAAAATATTGTCAGCGGAGCTTTGCACTGAGGCACTGCAGCTTTACACAATCTCTGATCCGAGTGGACGAGATGAAATAAGGCAATGAAGAGATCTCCCTCGGCTCCATGTTTCCTTCATCAACAGAGACAACCTGTCTTAATAATAATAGTAATTACTACTGATATTATTATAACAATACGCGTATTATTATGCGCGCAAAATGTTGTTGGTATCCAGTCCCTGGTTGCGTCTTCCGCCCCTAACAGCGCAATTTTAATACGTAAACAATTCGCGTTCACTGTAACCTAACCTGGACACTGAGGGCAGCAACATCCACCGACATCGTCGCATGGGCGTGTGGTTGCATCCGAGGAAGAGGGACCATCCAGGTCAGTAACCCAATTTTTGGCGACAAATGAAAAACGCCTCCGGGGAGTCCTTGTTGGTTCTGCTCAGCCAGCTGTCCGCAGCTCCATCGTACTCAAACAGGCTTTAACTCTCTTCTACACAAAAAAATAAAACCAGACGTGACATTACGAGCACCGAGCTGTCAGTCTGTGGGCTGACTTTGCATCCAAATACACCGGGGTGCTGTTCGCATACGCCGCGGACAAGCGCTCCCTCTGTCGCTGATCTGTAAGACACGGGGATGGTTGAAGTGCGCAGCCTGTGTGCGCACTTATGCCCATCACATGCGTGTAGATCGAGGTGCAGCTCGGCCGTGCGGAGGGGAGGACACTGTTGGAAACGAGACTAGGCTGTGCTGGAGCGTGAGGGGGTGCCGTTGCATTGTGGGTAATGTAGTTTCCGAGGAATCTCCTGCTGACCTACATCATTCTGACAGCTCATATAACTAGATAACTGGCAATGTTATAATCATAAGGAAGGGGGATTAAAGATGTCGTTAGGCCTGATTTGTTCTCTGCTACAGTGCATTGCCCTGTTGCATTAGGACTAACATTTAGCATTGTGATAATGTGATACAGTGATAGAGTAATACTAACTTTACTCTCACTGGAAAGAGTAGTTTCCCCGTCACATAGTCAGGGGTTTGTTGGGGGATTGCTGCTCAAGGACACTTTGAGGCAGTTTGAGGCCCATTAGTTTAAGAACAGTGAATCCAAGATTAGATTAATGAAATAATTATAAACTGGAGCTGACTTTCAAGATGTTGTACATACCTAGCAAACATGTGGGATGTATTTTAAATGCAAGGAGAGCATCAAGTGAAGGGAAATAATGTCATAATTGACATTGCAAAAGATTGCATGGTTGAGGGTCTTGTGCACAGACACAATAAGTTGTTGGATCACAGTGAGTATAATTAAAACTGAGAATACATAAATAATGCATATCTAAAAATAATAATATGCAATAATAATAACAATCAATGGGTTATTCAGACAATAGTCGGTGGTAGTATTCACACCCATCAATTGTTTAAGCTATACTGCCCCCTGGTGCCTAATGAGTGAAACACAAAGTATTTCGTGGTGGGTCAGTGTCTTGTGCTTTTTTCAGAAATATGCAATGTTAGAAATTATTATTAATTAAGTACATTTACTCAAGTACCGTACTTAAGTACAATTTAGATTTTTTACAGCTTTTACACCGAAAACCTATAATGAATTTTACCAATATTGGTATTGGTAAAATTAGCTCCACATTGACATTAATAGTAATGTTAATGATAATCAGATAATATAGTTTATGGTAGCATTACAGGACGATTGTGCTGCCTGATGAATACTTTTATTTAAGATAATTTAAGTACTTTTGTACTTTTTATTTTACTTGTAACATAATATTTTTTACGGTGTAATTTTACATTTGAGTCATACTTTGTTCTCTTCATTAAACAGGACTAACTTCAACTTTTCAAGTCCACCTTTTTTCTGTAGTTGTGTTTGTTTGTTTGTTTGTTTGGAGAAACCACTTCCTTTAAACTATCAGCATTTCCTGTATTCTTCTACTCTCCGATCCCTCCAGAGGGCTGAGGTGGAAGTCAATAAGGCTGTGACCTCTCTGTTGTGGGACAGTTCTGCCACCTCATTGTCAACATTGTCCCCTAGTTCAGAGACAGCTGCAGAAACCAGGATGAGTGCAATCAACAGGTTGTAGGTTTTGTTATTAAAGCTGATCAGAAAACCTTCTTTCTTTCTGGCTGCTACATTGTTGCCTAAAGACCAGAGAGCAGATATTTGCAGGAAATGTACTTTTGGTTTGCTGAGAAATACACATTTCAGTCCATAAATCCATAAATAAAGTATGCAAAATAGTATTTTGCAATGTATGTATATATTATATATTTATATAATATGATACAACAGTGTACAAATGTATGTAAATCCATTATATACACAAAAGCCTGAATAAACTGTCCATATACTGTCCACAGGACGTCTCTTTAATACTTTAATTACACATTATAGAGGGAAAAGGTAGAAATGTGACGTTGTATTACTTCGTCAATGCGTAACCAACTGTAGCATATTGTATGTTTATTTTATTTATTTAATTTAATCAGACAGGTCACCAATGAACTTGTTCCCGAAGATGGTCTGATTACATCTACTCACATCTACTCACTGATAAGACCTGTCAGTTATCTGATAGAGTCAAATGGGGGAAATTATACTATTTTATGAATCTATTGACTGTTTGACCCCAATATATGTTTATATTTCAATTTAATGTTTCTTCATTTAAAAAATAAAGACTGTAGTGGAATTCACATGTTCTTTGTTAACCTGTTGTCTTTGATTTATCTTTTAATTAACTGTGGTTGCTTTTGCTGTTGATGTTTTCTAGTCTTTTCTGGGAGGTATTGACTGAATAAAAAAAACAAAACAAACAAATAAACACTGGGTTTTAGAAAGGAGTTACGCATGTTGATTATATTTAGTTTTTAAACTCATTGCTGACACATCCTGTATGTCTGATTATGTTTACCAACCACAAGGTTGTGCTATTGACTAATTTGTGTGCGGCGCATTATCACAATCTGACCCTACAGCACGATAAATACACAGCAACTGCTCTAGTGTCGTTCTTAAAAGAGTTTAAACTCAGAAGTAGTTTCCAAGTGCCTTTAATAATCACAGTAAAACTCCTGTCTCGTTTACCAGAGGGCCACAACAACAGCCCCAGCAGTAGTAGTCTGCTGCCCCCTGTGTCTTACTATCAGTAGGTTGCGCCAACCGGAGCCGCGCAGGCGCAGTGAGCGCGGGCGCAGCTCCGCCGTGGTTTCGGTTGAGCATTCTTGGCAACGGCTCGCTCGGTGAACAGGCAGCCAACCGTCGGCCAACGGCTGTTTCCACAACGGCTGGAGAATTATTTTAACGGATAACCGGAGCCGAGCGGAAACACCGGAGCGGCGCCAGGTGAGCTGCTTCTTCTCTCTGAGCGGGGTTTAGTTGAGCAGTGCGGGCGATTCAAAAGCGCTGAAAAGTGGCGAGTGAAGTAAACGTTAGCGCAAACAGCGAGAGGCAACCGAGCCGACCAACTTCAGTCAGTGCAGAGAGCAGGCTCCTTACTACGGCTCTGACGTGGGTCTCCGTGCTGCCGGTAACCGTTCACACCGGCTCGCTGCTTCACTGCGACCTCCGGTCACTCAGCAGAGCACATTAAGACCCTCAAATGTGCCGCCAGCCGCAAAAGAAAAAAAAGGCATTAAAGAGCAAAATATTCTACAACCTTCCTAAGGATTCACTGCGCATGCTCAGCAGCGCCGTGCCGACTTCGGATTTGTAGTTTTTCGTACCTGAGTTAATCACAGTAGTGAGGGCCGAGAGGAAAACGGGAGGACTACAAGTTCCAGACAATGGGAGCTTTGTTTAGGGAGCGGAGCTAGACAGCTAGTTAGCCCGGACGAGCTTTGAATCTCGAGTAGTTGTGCTGCAAATCGGAAGTTCCCTTGGCTGGATGTTTTGTTTCAGGATGAGCTACAGTTGCACACACGTATTTATTTATTTATATATTTATTTATTTATTTATTTATTTATTGATATGTATGAGTGCCGTGCAGTAGTTTTGTCAGTGACTGGGGTTTGCGCACCATTGTTTTAAATGGGTCACAAACAAAATGAACAGGAAGTGATCGTGCTTTCGGTGGTCTGAACAGGCGGACCTTCTCTGTTCAGCTGTCAGGGTGTGTGTGTGTGTGTGTGGTGCTGTGTTGTGTGTGTGTGTGGTGCTGTGCAGTCAGCGTGTCGTCGTGTATAGCTCGCATGGGAAGGTGATGATTGCCCTCGGTGGCTCTTTCCCCTTTCATTCAGGCCCAACACCCCCCCCCCTGTGTGCTGCTGTATTCCCCAAGCCCTTCAGGAAACGACCACGTCGAGTATCAGGATGATAGAATCTGCGTGCAGGAGCAGCAGACACGGAGCCACTGCACCATCACTCCTGGAATCCAATGCTTACTCTGGCCTCGCCTCTAATGGAAAAATTATTTAACCAGGGTATAATGTGAGAGTCGAACGTTGAATGAGTGTCCTCAACCCTGGTTAATCTACACACACATGTGTAGCGTGAGCACTGCCCCCACTGTTTGCTGTGCAGTATGGAGGTGTTTAATCCTCAGTTAGAGAGAGAGGGAGGATCAGCTTGAATCGGTCTGAACTGTGCATTTTATGCTGAATCAGCAGCACGATCACAGCAGTGACATGGCGTTCTTCGTGTTTGTGAATCAGTTCCCTTTGATGTGGTCGAGCTGTGCACCAACAGCAGAACTTTGGGTGATAACGTGTTCTATTTGTGCATCTTTAAACGGAATGTTTGTGTAAATCAACACCAGACCGTCCAGTGTTGTATGTTTTTAACGGAAAACTCTGAGTCCATGTCTACACTTCTCCCTGTAAACCTTCTTCAAGTTGTGACTGTCTTCCTAAAACTCTCCTCGTGTCTGACGGAGCTAACAACCCATTCAATTGAATGTTGAACAAATAGAGCTGCGATACATCGGTTTTATCGGTTCATTCGAATTTGTAGTTAAACACCATTTATTTGAGTTAAGATCGGTTTTCTCATGAACTCCCACAACAGCGGCGCTCCCTTTGGGCTCCCGTAGGTCAGAGTGCGCTGAAACAAAATAAAAAACTTGTTTTGAATAATTTCTTTGTCAAAAAAATCGAGTAAAATCGCGTGAGAAAAAATCAGAGATTTTATTTTGAATTTATTTTATTTTTCATATCGCCCAGCCCTAGTTGAAAAAAATAAAAACTGCAGTCCACGTGTAGTTCAGCGTGCCTTATTGCAGCAGTGAGTGCAGCTGCATGTCCCTGCACGCTGCGTTTGATGGATGTATTGACAATAAAAGAGACAATCCTACAGAAAGTAGCAGTTCAGAATCACCAAATACAATGATTATGTTATTAAACTACAGTTGAACTCTTAAATCCACTGTTGTGTGGAGCTTTTACACAGTGGGGTGTCACAGGCCCTTTTTACTTGTCATAGCATGCAAAGGAAACAACAATAACAAAGCCCTTACGATATATAACAGTGTATAAATTCATATTATTATAAGTCTTCCTCAGAAATCTCTAGTATCTCCCGTTTGTCTGGTAAAACTTCACCTCTATGATCAAACCCTAGAACGACGGGGAGTTCCTCTAAAGTTCATTCATGTATTTCATAACTTTTGGATTTATCCAGAATATGTTTTCCTGCCAGTTCTGCACAATTAATGTCGTCCTGCCGGGCCCCTAATATCTGTACAAGCAGGACTGCTCTGGTATTTTTTACAACAGTGTCACATTATCCGCGCTCATCTTCACTCATTTCATAACTGTGGACCGACGTCACACAGTTGTAGGTTGTCGTCGGCTCCACTACCTGATAACAAGCGCTTACAGTCTGTGATCTGGAGGCGCGTCTCATATTTTGTGCTACTTATTCTGGTGTTTCATAGCAAACAGCTGCAGGAACAAAGGATCCTGTCTTCAAAGAGAGCTGAATGTGGGCCACCGGAGTTATTTCGCCCGTAAACATAGCGTTGAATCACCACGTCCTATCTCGGCACAGGTGACTCATCAGTTGATGTTCCCCCCTGGTTTCTTTATTCCTCACAAGGATCTTAAAGATTACACACGGGAATGCAGTCGCAGTCATCTGTTGGGGGAATAATACGTTTGTCCAAGAGGTTTCTTTTGTCGTGTTTTTTTTAAAGGTGGCAGAGATTTAGTTTTGGCCCCAGCTGCGGTTGAAGCTCTCCTTCCCCAACCGCGACACCTTGGCAGCCCTCCTGCTGTTTGTAACGTTAGAACCAAAATCCTCCTGCCAGGTTTCTGTTTAATCCTCGGAGGCGTCTTAGTTAAATAAAGGTTAATAGAAACGAACAACCGTGTGCTCTAAGGAAGGTGTGTGTGTGTGTGTGTGAAGGGGATGAACGTGTAGTGTAGTCTATAGAGTTTATAGTCTGCTGTTCATTTCTTATTGAAGTATATTTAAAGTTTAAAGTGACACAGGTTCAACACATGAGTTAATCTCAGCTGGGGTTGGATGCAGTTGGGTGTTTCCATTTGGGCGGACTTCAACTTATGTTAAAGTTGTCTTTTTCATCATTTTTACATTCAGGTACAATTAATTTATAACGAAGGAGATCAAAACTGCCCTCTCACATCAAGATCTCCTTATTTGATATACTTAATTCAACACTGACACAGTAATCAAAGTCACTTAGTTCATACAGCAGCTTCTGAACACACACAGCACCTTTACATGCGGAAAGGAAATTCATTAGAACAACATTTAAAAGCAAAAACGACAGTACAGTATATATACAAAATATAATATTCATTAAGTCCATTATATGTAGATATTTATATTGAATTGTCCAACGAGAAAGAGAAAGCAGTACAGAAACTGAGCGCGTTGTGTGGGCGAGAGGCAGAGTGAAGCTGAAAATGAAATGTTATTTGATAATTACGTAATGTAGTGTAGTTCTGTGTAATTCTGCGGTTCGGCTGTAACACAGGGCAGATTACAGTGGAAGAGCTGAGACCGTATGAAGAGTGAGCTCCTCAAAACTGCCTGTTTATATGTTGCTTTAATATTATTTCACAGCACATTTGTTCTTTGCATACACACACACAGATGTTGGGTGAATGATTGAGTTTAAACGCCATGAATAAAAACACCGGCAGGAACTGAGATGGTGTGCACGTTTTGACTTCTTCTAGAGGGATCAACCTCACCAGCAGTGCGTTCAGCAGACCTGCGTCATGTGTTAGTCAGAGTGCAGGTGTACAGTTTAAGATGAAATAGCATCGCAGCCCCTCCTCCTCCGTCCACTCTCTTTGATATATTTGCCTCCCTTGAGGGTCTTCTCCATTAATCAGCATGCCTGACAGAGTCCAGAGGTCAGAGATTTACAGAAAGAGGAGCACACCGTGTTACAGTCTCTGTTTTATGGCCTTGCTGTGTAGCCGTAAAACATTTTCTCGGTAGGCAGTTGATCCATCAGGCCTGCCTCCTCGTTTCTTCCTCCTCTCACTCCCTCGGAGGTCAGACTCCCTCAAGGTGTTGTTTACCAATCTGTCTCCTCAGGGAAGAAGATGAATCAGAATCGCAGCATTGCGTGTAAATGTCCACAGCGACGGCGGTGAGTGCTGTCTGTCTTTTTGCAGAGGTCAGGGTCTTCTCAGCTCAGATATAAGACGGAGTAGATCTCACAGGCTCTCTCTTCTCTCGTCTCCTCTCGGTGCTGGCTATGTTTGACCGGGGTAAATATAGCCTGTTGGTTTTAGCTCGAGGATAAACACAGATGTTGAGGAGGCCTTTCTCGCCACAGGTCGGCCTGCGTCCTCCCCCTGGTCAGCGGCGGTAGCAGAGGGAGCGAGTGAGAGGGAAAGCCTTTCCATCCAACCACAGCACACTGAAACACGGCTGTCGGACTCAACGCTCGGGGTTTTCTCGGTGTTATAGGAGGTGTATACATTTGTTACAAAGCATTGAGACAGCCTGACAAAGTGCTGGACGTAAAGAGTGATTTATGTGGCTGTGTGTGTGTGGCCACTCTACTGATTTACAAATGGAGGTCCACTTCACAAGGACTCTCCTCCAATACTCAGATCTGTTTATTGAGAGAGAGGAGAAACTGGAAGAAGCAAGAAAACCAGATCTGTTTGGGTTATTCCTCAATTCTCACACTAAATCCAAGGCCACGAGAGATAGCTGGCCTGCTTCGTCCCTGAGTAATACTGAATGTACTCATTTCCATAACATTAAGGGCTCTTATCTGTTACTCTCCCTCCTTTTATCATGTTTCTCTCTGTATTCCTCTTTCAAAAGGGACTGATGGTGTTTAAACGGTGTTTCAGCTGTAAGAGATGTTGACGATGGAAGCATTCGTTCTCTGGGGAACAGGCTTTGTTCTCGTACA